TATATTTTTTTTTTTTTATATATATATATATTTTTAAATATATATAATATTTTCTTAATAATAATAATAATTATATTAATATTAATAATACAATATAATAATATTAATAATATTATTCTTTTATATTGGTTATATTGCATACATTTTAAATTAAGATTACATTATTTATTATTATTAGTAGTAGTAGTAAATATAAATAAAGTTATATATTAATTATTAATATTTATTTGATTACTATTATTATTGTTATTATTATTACACCTATATAATATAAAAAATTAGTTTAGCATGTAGGAATGGCTCAACTTGTGAAAAATTAATTAATTATTATTATATTATTGTTGTTGTTGTTGCTGCTTTATAATGCAATATATTATATATTGTATCTATTTTTTTACCGGTTCAGGTAACCTATGATCAGTTGTTGTTTTATAAGAACTTTGGGTTCTATAACAACTCAACTGAGAAAGAAATACTTTTTAGTAAAGGGCATCTCTTACAACTCTGTAATTCGGCAAACATGTTAGACGTGTCAAGGGTGGTCTTATGGATATTTCTTTTAAGAGTGCATGTAAGGTGTACTCAGTCTGCAGTGTATTAAATATGTATAATACAGCTAATCAAAAGGGCAGAGCTTCATTACCAAATGACACAGCGTGGAGCCTAAGGTCTGATAAAAGTCGGGTGCATTAATTAGGGAGAACAGGGCTCCTTTCTGCCGTCTCTTATTAAATTACTGTTTGGATTAAGATCAAAAATTCATTACTGCAAGCAGTCAGAGCTGGGACAGGGATAGCGGAGCAGGGGTTGAGAAAGAGAGAGAGAGGGCAGGGGGAAGAGGAGAAAGTGAGGTGGTGAGAATTAGCTGCCAAACTGGTCTGGTTACCGTCACAATAAAGACCCCAGAGAGGGAGCGGAAGAAATGTTTCCTACTGAAACATGACTGTGACATGGTGGCTCCAGGTGGTTTGAATGAAAACAAGTTGTTTGTGTGCATGTGTGTGAGTGGAATGAGTGTATGTTGCGTGTTGTTTGTGTGCATCTGAGTTTATCTCTATATGACCGTGTGTAGATGTTTTTTTTTTCTTCTTTCAGCTCATCAAGAGCACGACTTGAACTCATTTAAGTGTTCTCCTAAAAATGCCCATAACGACCTCAAGCACAGGCAGCAGAGCAATCAAGTGCACCCTAATTAGGAGCCAAGGGTGGATCAGAGGCTCCTATAGCCAGCTCCAGGTGTTCTGAATGAAAACAAGTTGTTTGTGTGCATGTGTGTGAGTGGAATGCGTGTATGTTGCGTGTTGTTTGTGTGCATCTGAATTTATCTCTATATGACCGTGTGTGTAGATGTTTTTTTTTCTTTTCTTTTTCTTTCAGCTCATCAAGAGCACGACTTGAACTCATTTAAGTGTTCTCCTAAAAATGCCCATAACGACCTCAAGCACAGGCAGCAGAGTAATCAAGTGCACCCTAATTAGGAGCCAAGGGTGGATCAGAGGCTCCTATAGCCACCCCCCACCCATTGCCACCAATTACACTGCCACTCCAGATTAGCTGATAGGCTGCAGTCTAGGACTAGAGGAGCTTTGGTGCCCTGCCATCCAAGCCACTCACTCACAAACACACATTGCAAAGCACTCCAACTTCAAGCTATGGATGTATGAATACATTTCCCCAATTGTGTAAGGAAAAGTGGATCAGTGCAAGCCGATTTATTTTCAGGGTGATTTGTGTGTCATTTTGCAATATGGGATTTTGGATGTTATATGTTGACTTTCAACTGATCTCTTGTAACTCTTTAAATATTATTAATTAATTAATTAATTGTTGTTTTACCCCCAACTGTGCAGGTTGTTTGGTCACAGTGGAGCCTGCAATGCCTGTGGACAGTCAATCCCTGCCAGTGAGATGGTGATGAGGGCCCAGGGTAACGTCTACCATCTAAAGGTGAACCATAGCCTTTTAGCAAACACTAATGCTTTGTCAGTATTTAAAAAAAAAAATAGATTAATGAATGAAATGAAGTGTCCATAGGTTCCTTTTTTTTAAACAAAATAAAACTCAGTGGAATGATGGCCTTCTTTCTGGTGACATATGCTAGACTTATCCAATAATTCTGTCCATCTAAACCCCACTCCTTTCTTACAATGACTGCAAGCTCACATTTACTGATGGATAGAACCAAGTCCCCGATCAACACTTTTTTTCTTTTTGTTTCTTTTGACGGATGTACGTCACTATACAGAAGAAAAGATATGTCGCTACTTTTGTTATATCATTGCTTTATCTGACAACAAACTATTAGAAACAAACAGGGTAAAGACCATTTTGACACTGTTGAATCTGAGAAAAGATGAGCCAAACCTGTCTATCTCAGGACAGGTCATAGACAGAATTACAACATCGAAACTTGTATGGTTACCATTTCTGAACCAATCACAAACACGAGGGAATTTGTTTTGTACATTGCAATTACCTAATTCCCTTTGACATTGACATGTAAGCCAGCAGGAATTGCTGAACATAAGCTTGAGTCAGTGCCTCACAGTAAGATTTATGAAATTTTACTTCTTTTTGAGTATTGCATTGCAACTCCCTTAAGACTGGAAAAAGTTGAAAGACTGAAATGCATAATTCTTGCAAAACAATGACTTGGACCCACATTCCATATCTCCAGAGTGAGAATTAGAGAGATTATGGTATTAATCTATGTGTTTATACTTCACATTATTTGGTTGGAATGGAAACATCTGTAAAGACTTGGAAGTAGCCTTTTTTGAGGAAATATATTTCTCTTTGAATTGTCAGCTGAAGTCTTGCATTTACTGAACACTGATAGCAGGATAGTCTCAAGAGACGCCAACCAAAACTCATCAACTAACCGTTTTCCCAACTGCGCCACACATTCCTTCCTAATTATAGTGGTGTAGGTGTCAACCTGTCTTAAAAATATTTGATTGGAAAAGGAAACCATTCCCTGATTAAGCTGAGTGGATCAGTTTGGTTTCCCAGTGGTCCATGTTTGCATACGTTTGCAAAATTGGGTAACTACATCCTGACAGAATTTCTAATTTGTGAGTATCTGAAGAAATGTGAGCTTGGGATATAATTGATTTTTTTCAAACACTTTCCCCCCCTAATTCTTCGAACAGTGGAAAAAAATATTTATCTAAAGGTCTTTCTTTATATATAGGACTATTTATATATACGACTTTCTTTCTAAAATCATATCATATCTAAAAATATGAAAGAAAAGATGTCGCTACTTCCATCTCCTCTCAACTTTAATAATTTTTTTGTTTAATTGACTTATTAAATGACACACGAGACTTCCAGTGAAATAACGATTTGCTTTGTTTTTCTTCTCTCCACAGTGTTTCACTTGTGCCACATGTCGAAATCGCTTGGTGCCTGGTGACAGATTTCACTATGTCAATGGCACCATCTTTTGTGAACATGACCGACCAGGTGGAGCTTTGCTCAGTAGTCACCTGACCCCCCTGCAGAGCAACACCCTCCTACCCGACCAAAAGGTATGATATAAACACTGCGACTTGATAAGAAATCTTTGTGCAAACCTATTAGTGTCAATGAGTGTCTAATGATATCCCTCAACTTGCATTTAAAGCTGTAACTTTAAGTTACTTTAACAAATGTTGTCAATGTAAATTTGTACTAGATAATAGAAAAACATTTGATAAAAATGAAGAGGGATTGCTATACTGCATTATTTTTCCTATTTCGAAAACAAACTGATCGGCTATTTGATCTTTGTACACAGGTGTGCTGAGAAAACATGGATTTATAATTTGCGGTGTGCCTTTTCTTCGTATTTTTCCTCACATCTTTCCTTCAATCTATCATTGTGAAAGTCCACCCACAGCCAGGATCTTCCACCCCACTTTCGTGCATCCAGCCACCTTAGAAGACGGATTCAGAACTACGCAAGTACTGTGAGTCACTTGCGAGACAATCACCCCTGACGAGGGAAACGTAATCATATTGAAGAAAGTCACAGAATCGGGAAATCATCATATGCACTCTTATTTGGTCTGTCTGGTCATGGCTGGGATGGCCCGACCCTGAAAGGCTTAGACTCTTAAAGAGCAGCTAATTAATGCTGGGGTGATGCTCAACATGATTTTATTCCCTTTTGAGAAGTTTCTCAAGAAATGTTGTGGACTTTACCTGACATTTTGGTCTGCGGGGGTCTGTGAATTATGATAGATATCACTACTTGCCCACAAAATGACATCCATAGATCAAAAGACTGTTAAAACTCGCAGTTTGTTTCAGTGGTGGTTGCCTTTTGCTTACAGGCTCTTTTCACTTTAAGTGTAATTTTATTCGATCTTTTTTTAAAATGCTCTGTCGTCTTTGGTGCCTAAAAAAACTTCTTATTTCCAGTTTGTCCACCTTTTATCACTAGCAAGTAATCATGCACATGCACAGTACAGATGTGAACATGTATTGTTTTGTCTATTCGAGTTTATGACATATGAAGCGTAGACTGAGTCGTAGACTGCAGAGGAAACAGCATGTTTTTTTTCCATGGTTTGGTAGAATAAATTATATGTCTGTATGCATATTCTCTAATAGAGACTGCTATTCAGTGTCTGCCAAGACGTTTGGGAGAGTGAGGGAGATGGAGAGTAAAATTGTACATATTTCATGTGCTGTTGTATCGTGTTCAATGGTTGACCTGTGTCCTTGTGTCCTCTGTTTAAATGGAGGAGCAATCAAACAATAAGATATCTGTAAAAGAAAAAAAAATGCTTAATTAAATAACTATAATCATCACAAATGCCGTCTTGACATCTCTGCTCAGTGTACATCAACATTTGATGGTTTTGGCTCGGTGTGTTGGACTCTCATTGGAAGTCGAGACGGCTCTCCAATAGTCCTTGGCCAAAAACACGGTTCATTACCTCCAGATTTCAACACAAACTCTTGCATCTGCATCATTATAGAGAGTAATGAAAGGCATTTGAGCTGGCACTTTCTCTTTCTCCTGCCGAGATTTCAATCTGCGGGTCTTGTTAAAGGAGGTCTTGTGCATCTCTGTGAGCGTCGCTACAGAAATGAGCATTAGATTCCCGCCCTTTTCTTTCATCTGGCCCTCCTCTCAACATTTCATTTACTTCTTCAAAATCTGCCTTTTTCTGATCTGATTTGCTGAGGTTTGAGAAGTTTTCTCATTATGGCATTTCTGGTAATTGCCTTTTGTCATTAAATTCCCCCATATCTTGTTTATTTAATTAGTTAATTAAACCCATCTCCGTTTTATTCAACTACCTTTGGCCTACAATCACAAGGTGTTCCTTTCCAATTTACTTTTACGATTAATAAACAAATGTTCCTTTCCCTTGCGTTTCTTAGGAGAAAAATGGAAGCCAAGCATATCTCATTATGGCTGTTGGTTTGTGTATATGTTGGGTAGGGGGTGTAAAAGCCAGCTGTGACTTTTCACATTGAAGAATTCTGTGTGTTTGTGGAATCTTAAAAGTGTGGGGTTAGATCACACTGAGAAAAAAAAAGCTATATTCAGTATAGATATTCTATATTCTTTCTTTATATTATATATGGTGCATCTCAATAAATTAGAATGTCGTGGAAAAGTTCATTTCAGTAATTCAACTCAAATTGTGAAACTCATGTATTAAATAAATTCAATGCACACAGACTGAAGTAGTTTAAAGGGATAGTTCACTCAAAAATGAAAATGTGATGTTTATCTGCTTACCCCCAGGGCATCCAAGATGTAGGTGACTTTGTTTCTTCAGTAGAACACATTTGATGATTTTTAAGTCCAACCGTTGGAGTCCATCAGTCTTATAATGGATGGCAATGGTAACAAAGTCTATGAGAGTAAAAAAAAACATGCACAGACAAATCCAAATTAAACCCTGCAGCTCGTGACTAATTAGTCTGACATATTCAAAAGCCAATTAACGGTTTCTCAAATCAAAACTCTACCACAAGGTTTTGCCAAAAACTATATTTTTAAGTGCACTGATTTCGAGAAGCCCTTGTCTGTGAGGACATGCATGTAGTCCCCTCCCCCTCTTCAATTCACTAATTAATCAAATTAACACATGCAAATTGGTGTAATTACATTGTGTCCTCACCTCATGTTGTGTGAAGATGGGGAAAAGGCAGAACAGATGAAGAAGGGATATTTTTTTATCAGACTGAGGGAGGCACAGGCCATAGACTTCTATATTACTCTTAAACAACTTCAAATTGTAACCGCATTAGGCCAGTTTGGGTATTACAACCTAACCTACAACCTAAACCCAGGCTAAATAAATAGATTATGTATCGTTCTGTGTGAAGATTGTGATGTTGTTTCTTAAAAATATTCAGACATCTGTGACAATGAAGGCTCAGAACTGAATAAATGCATTCCTTTAATGCAATGTAAAAACCTTTTGGATAAGAGCATCGGCCAAATGCATAAATATATAAAAATGTACTCTGAATTACGAGGTAAGAAAGTCAGAATTCGGAGTTTATATCTCACAAGTCTGAGTTTGTGACACACAATGTCTGAATTGTGGGATATAATCTCAGAATCATGAGAAAAAAAGTCCGAATTGTATGATTAAAAAGTCGCAATTATCTTTTTAATTATTTTATTCTGTGGCATATACGGGCTATCAAATTGTAACCGCATTAGGCCAGTTTGGCTACTACAACCTAACCTACAACCTAAACCCAGGCTATATAAATAGATTATGTATCGTTCTGTGTGAAGATTATGTGATGTTGTTTCTTAAAAATATTCAGACATCTGTGACAATGAAGGCTCAGAACTGAATAAATGCATTCCTTTAATGCAATGTAAAAACCTTTTGGATAAGAGCATCGGCCAAATGCATAAATATATAAAAATGTACTCTGAATTACGAGGTAAGAAAGTCAGAATTCGGAGTTTATATCTCACAAGTCTGAGTTTGTGACACACAATGTCTGAATTGTGGGATATAATCTCAGAATCATGAGAAAAAAAGTCCGAATTGTATGATTAAAAAGTCGCAATTATCTTTTTAATTATTTTATTCTGTGGCATATACGGGCTTCCATATTCAGTAACAGCTCAGGCAAGTGGATGAGAGCAAGTTCCCCAGACGTCAGCAAGCAGGGATCTGGAGTCATAATTAAAAAGTGCTGTGGTGCTGGCAACATTTTCTCCCCTCTGTTTTAATAACTGCGAGGGGCTCCATCCATCTAATTAAATCTGTAAATGAATTAGCAACATCGAGGGTTTTCACTTGTTTTTTCTTGTTTTTTTTAACAACCCACCTTCACTTCTAGGAATAACTCCGTGCACATGCTGCATGCACACATTCAAGTACCCGACACTTCTGCTGTAAATGAAATGAATCATTATTGATACACTGTCACAAAGTTACAGGTGCTTGCAGATGCCAGGAGCAACGTGTAGCCTCACCTCAGCATGTATTTTTGTGCATACTGGAACACTTGTGTGGAAAAACTATTTTGAATCATCAGAAATGGACTCAACTAAACAGACAGAAAAGCCAATAAACTGCTGATACTGCTGGTGTAGATTCATGATCAAGATTCAATACTTTTTTGCAGTTTTTCCCAGCATAGTTTTGTGGATTTTATGCTCAATGTGCTCATTTGTTTATATTTTCATGTCCTCAACATATACCTCATAATATATTGTATGAAATATGACAATTGTTTTCTTTTTTCCTTTTTTTTCTATCAATCAAAATTAATTGAACATTGAATGTGAGTTTTAAATAATTATAATACTTTGATTTGAGAGGATTTTTATATTTTGCAATATGTGGTTGTGTGTTGGACTTTATTAAAGTCAATTTTTAAAGTCAAGGCAATTTATTAAACAATATACCAAGAGTAATCAAAATGTTTTAAACAAGATTTTTTTCATGACTATCGTTTTCCTTAGTAATAATATTATTACTATGTGCCCTCATCCTTGTTAGTCTTTTGTAAAATAAATCATTTCTAGCAGTAACAGAACAACACAAATATCAGAAAGTACAACTAACAATGGATTAAATTAATTCTGTTGTTGATTTAGTTAGAAATAGATTATTGCTATGATACAAAATAATAATAATACATTCCAAGTTTTGGGGGGGGGGTCAATGTGACTTTTTTAAAGACATTAATACTTTTATCCAGCAAAGGTGCGTTAAATTGATCAAAAGTGACATTATACAAAAAAATTTGATTTCAAATCAATGCTGTTTTTCTGTTCATCAAATAATCATTAGTATTATGGTTTCCACAAAAATATTAAGCAGCACAACTGTTTTCAGCATTGATAATAATAAGAAATGTTTCTTGAGCACCAGATTAGCATATGAGAATGATTTCTGAACGATCATGTGACACTGAAGACGGGAGTCATAACTGCTGAAAATGCAGCTTTTCCACAATAAATAACATTTTAAAATGAAACAGAAAAAAACTGCTTATTTTAAATTGTAATAATAATAATGTTTCACAGTACTGTTTATTTGATCAAATAAATGCAGCCTTGGTGAGCATAAGAGACTTTTCAGAAACATTCTGAATGGTAGTATATATATAACAATTTTAAAAAAGGTTACGGAGCTCAAACTGTACTTCATAACAACAATGACCCATTTAATCATATTAAAACTTTCAGAACATTCCATGTAGTGTCTTCTCAGTTCCCTGTGTCTCTGCATCTGGGGGCCCTGTCCAGACCTGATCCCTCTAGTTAATTGTCTGGGTTACCTTCAGTTGCCTCAAAGGCGTTTTGTCCTACTGAGCAGCAGGAGAGCATGCTGTGGATTAATTGCTTTGGTTTTGATGCACTATTCCCCTCTCTTGTGAGTACAGTAGAGACATGCTGTGTGCTCGTTTAAACAACAATGGACAGACACCTGCTTGTATACATGTGTGCATGAACACAACACATTTTATGTGACATAAATGTTTGTCTTCAGTTCCAGCAGCACAGATGAATGCTTGAGTAACTATGTAAGCTTTTATAGCCAGTGGACCTCATTATGAGATGTCTCATGAAACTTGATAGCGTGCGGCTCTTGGCTGATGGGTAACATTGGGTGGGATGACCTAATCTGGGCCTAAGTTTACAAATAACTCATTAATGAGGATTTTGTCATGCTCTTCACAAATGCAGACATATTAAAACATAAATAATGTATATGGAATTACATTTGACCCTGTAAGATCGAAAGCAATGAAGAGTGAAAACTCAAAAGCTACTGATCCAGGACCCATTCCACATCTACACGCATAAGGCTTCATGATGGAACTTGAAAAAAACTGATCCTGTATCCACTTTTGGAAAGACCTCCAACCCAGATCCGCCCTCTGTAGTGTGCTGATCTGAGTTCTTGAACAGCTGGTCTAGGGTCGGCTTTAGAGGGGCCGCCGTGACCCTGGGAGCTAATTAAAGCAGATAAGAGCATTAATGAGCTCCAGGCTGATCAAAGGGCCGCAGCTTGGCCTGGGTGGTGGGAGATGTAGGCGGGATTGGAGGGGAGCTCTGTTTACCCC